CTTCAAATACGTTGGCGTTGCCGGGGCAACCATGTTTACTTCTCTGTTAATGACTTTTGCTCTCAACGTCAGCAAAAATCATCAAAGTGGCATTTATATTGGGGAAACCATCCTCCTCCTCTTTGCCTTCATCCTTATCAGATTCCTTCTCTTTCTCGTTGGGCTAGCCCTCTCGGAATTGCTGGATAAGGAGTCGACAATGTTGAGTGGTATGCTTGGGATAAATCAGGTTTCCCTCTTCATCCACCTTGGTGTGTATATGACACGGTAAATCTAGCACATCATTTCCTGTTGAATCTTTCACCTTTTTGGGGACCCATGGTCCTTTAGGTTTTCCTTTGAATTTCCCCTGGGTCACCACTGAAGCTTCACCAGGAGCGGCAGGTTCGGCTTTACGCTTCTGTTTCTGATTGGAATTACCCCCTACGGCATCTTGGGCGACTAGTTTATTTTTGCCACTCCGGAGTCGGTCTTCTTCCTCACCGTTAGCATACCCAGTGGCTATTTCCATCATTCGGGTCAGAGTCATATCTCATGTCCGACCGAATTTCAGGTTAAGCTCTCTGTAATGAACGCCCTCCTTGAAGGCGCAAACTACTTGGTGTGGTGACATGTTTTCCACTGTGTGGTGTAAAGTGGTCCACCTCTGGATGTAATCCCTCAAAGTCTCATTCGGTTTCTGAACACAATGTTGCAATTCTTTCAACCCTGCAGGCCGCTTGCAAGTGCCCTCAAACATCCAAACAAACACTCGGGCCAATTCTTCCCAACTGAATATGTTGCCAGGAGCCAACTAATTCAACCAATCTCTGGCTGACCCTTCCAACATCAAAGGATGATGTTTAATGGCTACCTCATCATTACCGCCACCAATCTATATAGCCACTCGGTAATCCTCTAGCCAAGTGTCGGGTTTGGATTCACCGGTAAACTTACTTAGCCCAGTCTCTAACCTGAAGTTGGGAGGGATTTCTGCGGCCCTGATGGCACTGCTGAAACACTCAGGTCCAGATACATGTACTCGACTGCTTGTTGGTCGATCTCTGTCCTGTCCTTCTCTGTGATCTCTATTCCGGTCGACCAAACCTTGTACCAAAATTGACCTTGCATCAAATCCGGGTTCTCTGGGGTCAACTGGATGTCTTCGCTCGTCACCATACGGACGCCTGTCATCGGGTCGCCGGGGTGCATATGATCCGCCCCTCGGAGGGGGTGTGGGCACTCGACGGCGGTCCTCACGGTCGACCCGATGATCATATTGCTCGTGGTTCTGACCCATGTACTGCTCTTAACGGTGCCCTCGGTCCTCATGCCGCAGAGGCGATCTTGGGCTATGGGCCGACTGGACAGTGTTCGCTACCACAAATCTGCTATGGATCCTGTTGCGTGACTGGGAAACTGTTGTGTTCTGTTCTCCCGCTGCTCAGAGCAGCGCTCAAATCTCCATCAAACCCCTTCCAGCCTCTGATTGGGATGGCTGGATTGACTCTGCTATGCGGGCCACAGCAGTAAGATTCTGATTTGGAGTATGGTATACCTGATGTTCGGGTGGGAATTACCGCCGTCGTCGACTGGATTCTGGAATCAGTCGCCGAGCGCGTTCGTCGAGTGAATGCTGAAGGTTCTCCAGTCGCGCGCACTCAGCCAACGTGGCCAGGCGCGTGGCCTCCAAGGCTCGAGCCTCAGAGGTTTCCCCGACGATGGGAGTGTGGAGAGCCTCCATGTTGCGATGATGCAGCTCCTGCCTCTACTACGAAGTGAGGTCTTGAGGACGATATTCTTCATGAACACGCGACGGATCGCCGCTGCCATCACCACCATCGCTGTGGCGGAAACCAGGCGGGCTGCGCGGCGTGTCGACCATCAGGACTTCTGCCGCGGGGTCGCTGCTGTCACACTCAGACAGGGTCTCGACGGAGCCAGTCGAACAACCCGTAGAGAGATTCGTCGGGCTCGATTTCCATGACTTGAGGGGTGGCCACCGGCGAGCCACCGCATGCTTAATCCACCGCTGAAGCCACGATCGACCGGATCGCTTGCGGCGACGAGCAGCAAGGAGCGAAGACGTTGCGGGAGTCGACCGATACTGGGTCGAAGGTTGCCGCAGAAGGACGCCGCGGACGCACGCCCAAAAGTGGGTCGCCCCGCAGACGCGGAGCGCCTCGACGTCGAGGGGTGCTTCTTGAAGCCAAGCGGAGTCGTCGGCGATGAAAACGAGCGCGCCGAGAAGGATCTCGCGGCCCTCAGCCAAACCTCCGCTGGAAACCATGATGATGGGAATTGGAAAAATTGCAACCTCACTGGAAGTCGCTAAGACACCTGCCCCAAGGTGGGCGCCAACTGTCGTGGTTCTAAGTCTGACAGTAGAAAGGGGGGTACGTAGGAGGAGGCGAGATCCTAGCTACGATGAGGTTGTGCACGCAAGATTTACGAGTTCAGGCTCTTCTCGGAGGAAGTAATAGCCCTACGTCTCGGTGCCCTGAGGCGATCGACTGGATTATGCATGAAGTTATAGGGGGTGCGAACCCTTGTCTCAGTGGAGGGGGTGGCTTATATAGAGTGCGTCAGGACCCCAGCCAGCCCATGTTACAAGGAGTTCAATGTACATAAAGGTGAGGTGTTACTGGTAATGCCAGCAATAAAGACATATAAATGATCATTAACACTACGGAGTGAACGCCGGACCATTGCCATCCTGAGTGACTTTAGGTCTTCTGTATTCTGAGTGGTTTCTTGTACGGTAGAATGGTGATATACTGGTCGAATGGAATTGGGTTATCCGAGTGAAATTGTTGGTCGAGTGGGTTGCACTCTGAGGAGATTCCAGTCGGTGGAAACTATTGTGCTTTGAATGCTGTTTATCTTTGGGTAGTGTCCTTGGGAAGGGCGTCTAGGTTAGGCCTATTACCCTACCCTAGGTACATGTCATCGTGAGGCACCCATATGCTCCCAAGCCGACGTCTGCGCCCGGACGAGCTGCGGCGAGGAATACTCGGAGAAGATCGACGTCGCGTTGACGTCGACGATGTAATGCACCATACCGGCGGGGGTTCCAAGCTGCTTGGCAGCGTAGTAGTACGAAGGCTTGTAAGGCTCCGGCCACGGCAGCGTCTGTACTGTGGGCGCGCCTGTCTGGCGGCACCCGCCACGACCGTGCCGACCACCTCGTCCGCGACAACCTCCATGCCCAACGCCACCACCAGGCCCACCAGCGGCCAACCGCCTCTTGAGCTTCTCCTCCTTTGCGGCCTTCGCTTTGACGCGGCGAGTTTGCCACGTCACCGAGCTAATCTTCCAGGCGAGTGTGATGTTCGGATCCTTCGGCTCCATCTCCAAGTTCCATGGGTCGGCGGCGGAAGGAAGGAGAGGGTGAGAGAAAAGAGAGGGGATTGGGCGGAGAGCAGTGGGGAAAGGAAGAAGAGAGTAGTGGATTTTGGCGCGGAAACAGTGCGGGATGCTACAAAAGCGTGGACTCCGAATTCCTTTTGGGTGGGTCAGGAGGTAGAGAGCGACGTTTTACGTGTCCGGACTCCTGCAAAGGCCCCCCGTGTTTGTCTCCGGTTTGCGGAAGAAAATACATACAAACCACGTTGTGGACTGATACAGGACTCCGTTGGATAGCTTCTGGAGTCCAGACAGCGCGGTCCAGAGGTTTGCAAGTCGGCATTGGAGATGCCCTTACAAAGCAACTTTAGTGCTAAGAGAAGCAACTTCTTGCTAGGCGATAAGGACTGTAGCGTGGGGTACCTTGACGGGTCGTCGGAAAACGACGGCGAGGACCCTCTGAGCTACCTGCCAATAGGGTCCGTGGAGAGGACAAGCAGCACGGGGCTCGCCGTGCCACTTTGGGGCCCATGGTGGAGATCCTGAACCACCCGATCGTGGGAGGCTTTGTGTCGCACTGCGGGTGGAACTCTACGCTGGAGAGCGCGGCGGCAGGCGTGCTGATGGTGGTATGGCCACTGTTCGTGGAGCAGAGGATGAACGCGGTGATGCTGGAGGAGAGGAGCGGAATGGCGATGCGGCCGAAGGCAAGGGAGAGGGACGGTTTGGTGTTGTGGGAGGAGGCGGTGAAGGAGCTGATGAGCGGGGAGAAGGGGGATGCAGCGAGGAAGAAGGCGAGGTAGATTGGGGAAAGCGCTACGCGGGCGTTGGCACCGGATGGGCCGGCGTGCAAGGCGCTCCAGGCGGTGGCTAGCAAGTGGAAGGAGGGCATGCCGCAAATGAGTTGTGCGTGCGTGCGCTTCCCGCGAATATGGTTCGAGGTTTGTGTTGGAACATTCCGTTGGCAAAAATGCTACACACACGGATTATAACACATTATTATGGACTCTTTCCAGCTAATTAAACTTGGCCCCCCTAATTTTCAGCTAGGGTGGGCCCCTTACTTTGATTTACACCCAATCAAAAAGCCCACCTCAGCCTCTCCGTGAACCCTGTAAAAGAGATGCCCGTGTGTGTCCTGGACTCCTGGTCCTCTACGTATGTGTCATGTCTCTGTGTGTGACACAGAGCGATAAATTTATTTTGAAAAGAAAAGAAACGTTTCCAGTTGTATCCTCCTGCTACCTGCAGTGTTTAATATCTTGACTTACAAGTATATATACAACAAGTTTATTCGCCAAAAATATGCATTTTAACGCAACTCAATTCAAAATCAAAGCAAGAGGCACTAGCAATTCAATCTACAGACTTATTTGATACTAGTATGGTAGCAATTCATCATCGTGGATTTGGAACTGGAACAGCGTTCCGAAATCTTTTGTCTCCTGCACAACATTTTCAGGCATCATTTACTTACAACTGGCCTGAAACCCTGGAAAACGGAATCTCCGCACGTTTCATAATCCCAGCTAAACTCGGACAAGTAGTCGACTGCGACAGGTGAACATTCCAGAAGTCTCACCATTGAGAGCCACACGCACAGCTCTTATCTAACGTGTACTAGTAAATGCTAAATAAACAGCAAGTTCATGTATGTATAGTAGGCCAGTGGTAGTTCAGCGCTTCCTCTTGTGTGCCCGCCACTGTTTCAGGACGTACTGCAAGGCCTCTTTCAGTGTTGCTTTGCGGCCCTCCTTGTAGTTCCACAGCTCCGGTACGGGATAGCGGTCACGGGGGTTGTACTCGTTAACTTCAAGCAGCGCCTTTGTCACCAAAGAATAGACTTCTTCGCCATACTCTTCTCTTAGGGTCTGAAGCTTCGCATCATCTTCAGAGATAAGCTCCTGCACCAAAGCACACGCCATGTGAGATAAACAATACTACAATAGTATATATGTCTCCCATTCTAAAAATGATTGATGAACACATTATTTAAAGCTCGGAAACTTCGACTCCACAAATATGCTGCTGATTTAGCATACTTTTACTCATAAACGACTCTCCAATGCTGTCTGAACCACATCACAGCGCGACATTTTGAACAAAAATTGATTGTGCACCTTGTCATGGACTCAAGATGCACACAACTACCACCTCTGTCCCATAATGTAAGACACTTTTGCAGTTCAATTTGAACTGCAAAAACGTCTTATATTATGGGACGGAGGGAGTACTTCATTGCGTGGAAACACAAAAGTTGCAGAAGCTGCACCAATACAGGAGCAGCTTTCTATGCCTTTAGTACAAGTGAATCGCACAAGTTCTATGGCTTCAGATACCAGTATCATTTCCTATGTGTCAACAGCCAAGACCTAAGATATATCCAGTTTACCCAGCGCTGAATTGGAAATCAACACTTAACAAGAAGACGTAGTCCCAGTCAGAGAACACAATTTACTTGCCTAACTTAATTGACAAAATGCCATACGGTTTTCAATGAGAGGGGAGTAATTAGCACGCATACAACTTGAGCACGGGTTCAATTGAGATACATCAAGAGATTCCATGTGCATATGGTAAGCTTTCTATCAATAAAATCTCTGATGGCTCCATATATAACTCCGCCAGCAAATGCTAGATGTACTCTGTTGCCAAAATCAACGAATTAAAGATAACTGGTAATACAAGTTACCAGGAGCTTCAGAGGAAACCAAGTGCAAGAAGCCAAGTCTTATGTGGAAAGCACATCGCTATTATTCAATTATATTGTATAAATCTCAATCAAGAGCAGCTAACGTTAACATAAGGTCCCTCGCAGTAGAATCGCTTCTCAGAATTAAACCAGCACAAGGTCTAGGCTGAATACTCTACAAAGTTAAGGTACCAAATCTTTTCGTATGACACCACATTCCAGTATATATCTCAGGTACCCACGTATATGTCTAAATTGTCAGATTCAGCAATCAAGCATCCGTTGAATACCCAACTACTGTACAAAAGAACCCTAATGTATTACAGAACCTAACTGAGCTGCAAACTGATTAACTCTAAAACCTGCAAGTGGTAACTTAAATAGGAAGCATGCAATGAAAAACAAGATTGTTTAACAGAACACTAATGAAAAACCTGCACGTAGTAGCTTAAACAGGAACCAGGGAAATGTTTCCAAAAAGGAAGTCCAGAGTGACATATATGACTGAAAATTACAAGCTATTAGGAAGAGTAAAGTGTGTAGAAAATGAAAAAGGAATCCTACCCTTTTTTTCCCATTAACCATGACAACCCTAAAAGGGTGCCATTCTGGTTTTTTGATATCAGCCTCCCACTTCGAACAAAGAATGGCAGCAGTCACTTCTGCATCTTCTTTTGACAATTTACGTCCGCAAGCAATTGCAAGTGATTTAAGATCAAGTTCGCCCATTCTTTTAATGCCAATATTTGCTCGACCAGTTGTAATAGTCTGCAAACCCTGTAGAGTATGCAACAGATCAGGAATGAGTTTGGATGTTATGCAAACATAGTGGACAAGTGCAAGAGCTCGAGCAATGAGCCAGCTTACATCTATCAGCTTCTTCCGAGCATCTTGCAATTCATCATTGCTTTTCCGTTCCTTGATAAGCAGAGTATGGTAGAGTGACTCCATTGCATCCATTTCATCATATTTGTCTTGTAACTCCTCACTAAGTTCATCTATTCTTTTCTTCGATTCAGAGTCTTCTTCACCTGGCATATGCTTCATGACTTCCAATTTACCCTGCAACTGTTTTATTTCTAACTCAAGCTTCTGCTTGGCATCCAGTTGATGCTCCAACTTGATAATCTTATCTAGAGCGACTTGTTTCTCTAACTGCATTTTTCCATTTTCATCACAGTAAGACACTTATATGAATTATGTCCAAAAAAATAAAGTGAAACAGTATACTAGGCCCAAACCTTGTGTTTTTCCACAAGCTTGAGCACATTTTCATCAGCCTTCTGTTGCACCAATGTTGCCATCTTAAGATGCTTTGTTTTAACACCGTTCTGCATCCACACAACAGCCCATAAGTGATATGCATAGTCCACCAAACAGGGCCCCTCCTACGAAGAACATGGCCCCCACATTTTACCCAAATCACCCTAGTCTAAACCCTCTGCACTGTATCTATATCTGTATATATGTATATGTCATTATGTCTATACCAATATAAAAAGAGTGAATTGCAGAGATCCAACAAATCTTCCCCGTTCAACCGCATCTATCCAACAGTCTACGTCACTCCGGTGTTCAGCGTTAAACATGTTTAGCACCCTCCACTAATTAATATCATGCCTAATATCAACGACAGCATTAACCAAGTAATTGTACCCTACCTAATATTAACATGCAATTTATATCATGCCTGACATCAATGTGAAATACAATTAATATCTTGACTAATATTAACGTGCATTGCACATACACAATTACTAGTTATTTAAATGACAATGTTGGATGGCAATACAAAATACAATGTTAGGGACTCCAAACAAACTGTTATGTAAAGATTGACGAAGCGCTGAAACAAGAAGAGGGAAGAGAAAACATAATCCCATAGTTCTGTATGCGATAAATTCAATAATAGAAACACAACATTACACACCTTTTCCTTCTCGTGCTCAAGGTTCCTTCTGTCAGATTCACTACGCGCAACTAGCTCATCAAGCTGTTTGGATCTTAAGTCAAGGTTCTGCATCTTGGACTCAAGTTCTGAACGGAGCTTTTGATTCTCATCAATGATCCTCTGTGAATGCCTACGAGCAAGTTGCTGCATCTTATGTATTTCTGGAAAAAGAGTAAGTTCAAAAGGATGTTAAAACTACAGAGCTCTAAGCATGTTAAAAGGAGAATGCAAATATGCTGATATTTAGAACATGGTGGAAGATATAGATAGCAAAAGGTCAACACAAACCTTCATTGTATGCCCGGAGCAGCTGATCCTTTTGCTCCATTATCATGTCAAGTGAGGTGGTCGTCTCATTGTACTTACATTCAAGTTCTTCCACATGCCTTCGCTTTACCTCAATCTGGCTAGCTAAATTCGCTACCAGTTTGTTTGTTTTGCGTGCTTCTTCATTCTCAACATCTGCAATAGTTTTCAGATCACCATTTTTATGCAGATAATCTCCGATCGGCCCTGGATATTTCTGATCATCAGCCCTTGCAACCCATCCAAACATCCCCGGTCGTCGATGCTTGTACGCCTTCCAGTCCAGTTTGCCATATCCTTCTGACTCAAAGTGATTTTCGAAGGCAAGTGCATTATTGAAGGCAGTCCAATCTTTTCCAAACTCAACAATAGCATTCCCTGTGTGGCCTCTATAGTTCCACAAAGGGATAACTTTCTGTGGGCAAAAGCACGAGAGCTTCTCCTTCAGCCGGTTTCCACTTTCTCCAACATGGCGCCCATTTTTCCGTTCAGTAGGCACATTGACCAAAACACCCATCCAGGGCCAAACGAACAGGTCATCTCTGTTCTGAACAGCTTGAGGCTCCATAGCTATTAGCTGTAACTGGCGGGCCGCCTCGTCTCTCCCCTGCGGATAAGCTGCCGAACCTACTCCAGTTGCATGCTGCTGAAATAGGCTCTCTATGTTCTGTCCGCTCTTACTACAAGCTCTTTCCTTGTGGATCCTGCTGAAATCAAAAAAGAAAATGTCAAGGGTCCATTTGGGAATCATGCAAAAATTTACACCTATAAATCATTTGTATACATCAGTATTTTTACCCTTGTAAACGGCCATTTGGATACAAAGAAAATTTTGCACAGAAATCTAGTGTAATGGGTCAATTTCATTCACTGGATCGGCTGAACACTGGACTGGCGCATTATATCTGAACAGGTACAGCCGATCAATTGCATTCACTAGATCAGGTGAACACCGGACTAGCGCATTACATCTGAACTAGTGCAGCCGATCAATTTCATTCACTGATAGGCTGATCAATTTCATTCACTAGATCAGCTGAAGACCGAACTAAACTATGAAGGAGCTGAGCTACTTTAATTAGAACAAACATAATCTACAACGCGCACATACAAAACATGAATAATCTATTAATCTTTTCAACAATACCTGAAGATCTTTTTTGAAGCATAAAGAAAATGCACCGACTGAAAGATGACAACCAGCACATGAAAGCGCCAATATGATATGTTGCAACATGTTCTGAACTGTGAGTGGTCATATCAAAGATACAATCCCACCAAGGTAACAATTGCACCTTAATTTCCTCTCCAGTATTCTCAACACCACCCATTATATATACAGATGTGCAGGTTATAGTGAGATGGAAGTACTGGTACCATTTGGACTAGCTCACATGATTAATTAGCCTGTGCACATGGAAGTACTGGTACAATTTGCGCATACAACCATATAAGAGGTAGCCAAATGACACAAGTTCAATCAAACTTAATGATGAACTGCTCATCATTTGCAATTTTGCATGCCCAAAGCAACGCAACTTAACTGCCAAATCCATTTTCCACGAAAGTGAAATTCCAATATATCTTAAAGATATGCGGTCAGTTTTACTGTCTGGAATAACAGAATAGCACTGAAGCAAGACAATAATATGCACCATAAATGCAGTTTGCAGCTTTTCATTCCCATAAGATGACAGAAAGCATATAAAATCAATAGATTCCAGCGGCACTGAAGCTATATATATAGCAGCCGAGCAATAAGTACGTCATATCTCCAGCTGTGAAAACATATCTAGAATACATGTTCATTCCGGAAATATCCAAACGGAAATAATCCCAAATACCAAGGCTACTCGAATGTTGGGCGTAGATATTCTAGTTCGGCTCGCTATGCGCAGCAGCAGTTGCCAAAATTCGTGGAACAAGATCAGTGAAGGACAGAAGAGTTGGCGTCACATACCCACCGGAGGGCTCGCTGGTGCTCATAGCGGGCCACCCACCCGGCTGCCTACTGATGGCGCCGTCCCCAACGACGACGAACCTAGGGTTTCAAGGTACGCGTGGATGAGTGCAATGCCGCTGAGAAGGAAGGGGAAGAAGGGGCGGAAGCACGAAGACGGAAGCGAATCGGAGGGTTTGGGCTCACCTCGCCGCAGCGCCGTCGTTGGTTGGAGGGGGGCCAGAGTGAGTGAGCGTGGCCGTGGGCGTGGAGGACGTGATCGGGGAGGCCGACTCGGGAAAGCGATCTAGCGACACACAAAACTGGAACCACGCGGAGAACTAGAGGGTCCAGCTGGACCGCCCGGAACCAAGGTCGTTTTCCAGTCAAGGGCTCATTCGAAAGGATTTCTTTTCAAAATCAAAGGAACACTCACTCATATAAACAACGAACGCGGTCCACACCCTACCCTTATAAGCATTTTCAAAACATTGAGACCATCTAAATTTTGAGATTGACAAAATCACCATGAACGACTACTAAGAGAACGTCTTTAGTGCGGAGCATCCAACGATCATCGCATGGACCTACTTTCGTCTCTCAAGACACCACGTGGACCAATGACTAGAGGTCGTGCAAGGACTATTGAAGCTGAGGTGAACTCGCTCATCTCCGAACTTACTCATTCTACATGCGAGACATAGCTACTACCTCAAACGAAGACCTTGTGTGTGATCACGTACTTGGAGGAAGGCCATGGAGCAACTACGTCCAATGGACAAGATAGTGAGGACACTGAGGACCAAGAGGAACTGTTGACACCAAGTCACAGGTACCGGACGAACAACTGGTTTCGGACGTCCGGCGCCCTGGAGATCAGCCAACCAGAAGGCCCAGCTAACGAACGCTACAGCTGCCGAACATCCTTCCAGCGGCCGAACGACCGACAACCTCCAGAAATCCGGTGCCACCAGTCCAGCACCAAAATACCAGAAGACCGAAGTTCTCCGGACGGTCGAGCCACCGGACGTCCGACGTTCCCTGGAAATCCGGCGACACCCGTCCAGAGCCAAATTACCGGATGTTCAGCGCCCTCCGGACGACCGGACGCTTGTGGGCCATCGGAGGACCGGTAACCACCGGACGTATGACGCCTGTCTGTGCATAGCGACTCGAGCCGAGGCCCATGTACCCTTTCACTTCCCTAGACTATTTATATACTTGTCTCCTACCCACGTTGTAGGCTTAGGAAAGGTTAGAGCTCATTTGAGATGGAGCTTTACTCATCCACTTACCCTCACATGGAGTTCAAGATCTCCATGTGGGAAGATCTCCCAAGTGGATTCAAAAACCCTTCATGGAAAGATCCTCCTACGCTTCAAGACCTCTATCCTTCAAGGATTGGGATGAACTAGCTACCCTTTGTACCCTGATGTCTACTACCTGACTTTATTCTTGTAAATTTGTGTTGGGCCTCCCGGCGCAGAGTTTTGTAGGACAGTAGCAATTTTCCCTTAAGTAGATGACATAAGATTTATCAATCCGTGGGAGGCGTAGGATGAAGATGATCTATCTCAAACAACCCTACAACCAAATAACAAAGAGTCTCTTATGTACCCAACACACCAAATACAATGGTAAATTGTATAGGTGCACTAGTTCGACGAAGAGATGGTGATACAAATGTAGTAATGATAGTATATATTGATTTTTGTAATAGCAGCAATAAAAACAGCAAGATAGCCAGTAACAAAAGTGAGCACAAACGGCATTGCAATGCTTGAAAATGAGGCCTAGGGTTCGTACTTTCGCTAGTGCAATCTCTCAACAATGCTAATATAATTGGATCATATAACCATTCCTCAACATGCGATGAAGAATCACTCCAAAGTTCTTATCTAGCGGAGAACATAAGAAGAAATTGTTTATAGGGTATGAAACCACCTCAAAGTTATTCTTTCCAATCAATCTATCCAAGAGTTCGTACTAAAGTAACACCAAGTTATCCTTTCCGATCGATCTATCTAAGAGTTCGTACTAAAATAACACCATATGATGCACATCAACCAACTCTAATGTCACCTAGATACTCCAATGTCACCACGAGTATCCATGAGTTGATTATACGATATGCATAAAAAATCAGATTCATAATACTCAATTCAACACAAAGAAACTCAAAGAGTGCCCCAAAATTTCTACCGGAGAAACAAGGACGCAAACGTGCATCAATCCGTATGCATAGATTACCCCAATGTCACCTCGGGAATCCGCGAGTTGAGTGCCAAAACATATATCAAGTGAATCAATATGATACCCCATTGTCACCATGGGTATCCATAGCAAGACATATATCAAGTGCTCTCAAATCCATAAAAGTATTCAATTCGATAATAACAAAATCTCAAAAGTAAAACTCAATTCATCACAACAAGATAGAGAGGAGAAAACACCATATGATCCAACTATATTAACAAGCCCGTGATACATCAAGATTGTGCCAAATCAAGAACACGAGAGAGAGAAAGAGAAAGAGAGATTAAACACATAGCTATTGGTACAAACCCTCAGCCCCGAGGGTGGACTACTCCCTCCTCATCATGGTGGCCGCCGGGATGATGAAGATGGCCACCGGTGATGATTTCCCCCTCCGGCAGGGTGCCGGAACGGGGTCTAGACTGGTTTTTCGTGGCTATAGAGGCTTGCGGCAGCGGAGCTTCCGATCTAGGGTTATTTCTGGGGGTTTCTGTATTTATAAGATATTTTGGCGTTGGTTTCACGCGAAGATGGGCTTCGAGGGGGCCACCACCCACCAGGGCGCGCCAGGGGGTTGGCGTGCCCTAGTGTCTTGTGGGCATCATGGGGCCCCATCTGGTGGTTCTTTGCTCCATTACTTATCTTTTCTTCCAAAAATCGTCAAAAAGTTTCGCTGCATTTGGAGAACTTTGGTTTCTGCACAAAAAATGACACCGTGGTAGTTCTACTGAAAACAGCGTCAGTCCGGGTTAGTTCCATTCAAATCATACCAAAACCATATAGAATTGTTGTAAACATGGCATGAATACTTCATAAATTATAGATACGTTGGAGACGTATCAGCATCCCCAAGCTTAATTCCTACTCTTCCTCGAGTGAGTAAATGATAAAAGAAATAATTTATGAAGTGTGAATGCTAGCATAGTGCGTAAGTTTGATCAATGATAAATTCAATCACTTTTCCTAGCATCATAAGAGCAACTCTTTCTCATAAAACTCATCATGAGAAAGTAGCAGTTGAAAATGAAATTTTTGATGTGGAATGTTACCTATCATATTCCTCATATACACTTTTCTTTTATAGCATGGACATTTGGACTTGCATGATTCAAAGCAATAGCCTATAATTTGGCACAATTATGCTACTGTTATAATTGTGTTTTTTACATTTTTTATTAGTGTTTGTGCCAAGTAAATCCTTTAGGATCTTCTTGGGTGGTAGTTGTTTGATCTTGCTGAAAAAGACAGAAACTTTTGCGCTCGCGGAAATAATTTTCATTTTTAACCAGAGAGCAATAAAATACCAATTACTTTTGCTGTAGATCAATATAAAAGTTTATCAAGTCGTCCTAATTTTGTAGAGTTTTTGGATTTACAGAAGTATTCGAAACATCCAGATTGCTACCGACTGTTCTATTTTTGACAGATTCTGTTTTGTTTGCGTTGTGTTCTTATTTTGATGGCTCTATGGTTTTCTTTGATGAGTTTTTGCCATAGAAAAGTTGGAATATAGTAGATATAATGCAAGAACAAAATATGAGTTGGTTTACTACAGTACTTATAGTAGTGATTTGTTTTCTTATACTAACATATCTCATGAAGGCTTTTGTTGAGTTTTGTGTGATTGAAGTTTTCAAGTTTTGGGTTGTCTTACGATGGATGAAGGAATAAGGAGTAAGAAGAGCCTAAGCTTGGGGATGCCCCGACATCCCAAGCTATTATCCAAAAGAGAGCAAGC